AATCCGTATTCATGTGACCTTCAGTTTAACCCCTTAGCTAGAGATGTGTAACGCATGAATTAGGCGTGTTCAGTTATTAAAAGGAAAAGAATGTCAACATTGAAAGTGAAACAAGGGTAAACCATTTGATTGACTGATTCGATCCACAAAAACTCATTCTTATACAGGTAAAACGATGATTAACATATATTTTTAAACTATAATTATGAAATCAAACAGACCTAGAAATATCCAATTGCACGAGTTCGCTATCTATTTATATCTATATTTATTTTTATATCGGGATACATGACCGTCGGCAGTCTTCGGAGTTCACCTCGATAGTTAATTAGATGACGTCTAGACTAAAATACACACGAAATGCTGATACATATTATCGAGCCCATGCATTGTATATTGTTTATTTTAGACTTTTTATAATTTAGATATACGTTTTAGTATGTTATAAATCAAATATGCCTGAGAATTTGAGTCAAATCGGTGAACATGAATTTGACAGCTAATGCCCCTTTGGATTCAAAAGTTGTCAATTGAATATTGAAGAGTCTATATAGATACACAACTGCAAATTTTACATTTTTTTGTAAAATGAAATATTGTGTATCCGAAAGAAAATACATATTGCTCAATTTCCAAAAGAATTTTTGATTTTGATTAGAGCTCTTTTCCTAATGCTTGTAGTTCAAGTTAAAGGTTTGGTTGACTTGCTTGCTTTGTTTGTATAAATGTTTGCTCAAGCATTGTAATTAAGATTGACATCTGCAATCAATAGATAGGCGGGGCTTCAGCTTGTATACATTATACTCTGCATTATACATATAACATTTAATAACATTTAAGTACAATGTATATAAGCTGAAGCCCCGCCTATCTATTGATTGCAGATGGCAATCTCAATTACAATGCTTGAGCAAATATTTATACAAACAAAGCAAGCAAGTCAACCAAACTTTTAAACTACAGTGTACAAGTATTAGGAAAAGAGCTCTAACGATGTTTTTCTTGTACATTTTGGGATTAATTCTAAATCTTTCCCAAAATCTGTCAAAATTGCAGTTTTTTGGGCTATCTTCAGGTGTTTATGATTTGGTGATCTGTTACGAAAAAAAGCAATAATATTGTTAGAACCTTAAAGTATACATATTCGTCTGTGATATAGTTAGTTTTAGAAAAGATTAAAATACTTTTTGAAAATGGTCCTGGAGTGAAATAGATTTAGACGAAAATTACCTCACTTATTACTGTATCGAACGTATGTTTGGATCGATACAGTGTTGACATGTTGGGTCGATCCAAAAATACATAAACCGGTGTGGATTGCTTACAATTTATTGAAGACTTAAATTATGATAGTTTTAATGATATTTGCACAAAAACCGAAAAGCTAAAAGCAAGTGAGAATTCTGATAACAGCACATCAGAAGCCCGAAGGGAATGACGTGGTATCTGATTTTAATAAATTAGTAAAGGGAGCAGCAAACCTAGATAACAGATTTGAATCTAAATTGCCTAATACACAAAAAAGGAGGAAAAATAATAAAAAAAAACATGGGTTGACAAAGACTGTGATGCTAAATATAAGCATATAAAAGCTCTCTGTAGAAATTCAAGTAGAAATCCTTGGGATTCTAGTTTAAGAGTAAAAAAATTTACAGAGAGAAAAAACTTCAACATGCTTGTACGTAAAAAACATAGGAACTATAAAACCAAGATACTAAAATATATACTTGACCTATCTGAAAATAATCCTTCAGAATTTTGGAAATCGGTAAATTTATTGAAGGACAAAGCGAAGGGAGACCCCTAGCTCCAATATTATTTCACTTGATGAATGGTTGAAGTACTTGAAAAATTTAATGAATTTTCACCATTGTAAAAATTTTGATGAAAAGATTAGTAGCATTGATTGTAATAATGATTGATTAATTGATAGTTTTACTGCGGTGGAGGTTGTAAAAGACTTAAAGTTAAAAAAAAAACTGCTGGTTGTGATGGTATAATGAACGAAATTATTAGAGTGTCATGTGGTAAATTTGTTAAAACATATGTGTGGATTTTTTAATTTGATATTTAAAAGTGGAATCTTTCCTTCTAAATGAAGAGAAAATATCATGTTAAGCCTATATTTAAAGGAGGATTTTTTAATGACCCTTCCAACAACAGGGGTATAGCTCTTTCTAGTTGTTTAGGTAAATTTTTCTTTAAAATATTATCTTCCTGGTTAAAGAGCTTTCTCTGAAAAGAACAGTATATTACACAAGGAGCAAATAGGATTTAGGAAAAATAGCAGAACAAACAAGTGAAACTGCGAGCTACTGCTCACTGATGATACCTCCGCCCAAATATTAATATTTCGGTAAACAGAAAGTTGTTGAGTGATGAATCTGAAAACGCACCACAAGGTAAAGCTGACTTATATATACCCTGAAACCAAATTTCAGAAATCCTTGTATTGTAGTTCCTGAGAAAGATGCGACGAAAAATATTCATGGGACGGAAGGACGGACTGACGGATGGACAGACAGAGGTAAAACAGTATACCCCCACTTGTTTAAAGCGGGGGTATAATGATCACATTTTCATTAAAAACTCTGATTGACAAGACTTATAAAAAATCTAAACATCTTTACACTTGTTTTGTAGATCTGAGAAAAGTGTTTCACACAATCAATAGAGATGGCCTTTTTCATAAGTTACTAAAATATAATATAAAAGGGTCGTTTCTGTACGACCACCGCGGTCGTATAATGTTATGACATTGTCAGCGTCAGCGTCATCGTCGTCGTCGTCGTCCGAAGACATTTGTTTTCCAGACAATAACTTGAGTATAAGTGTATGGATCTCTATGGAATTGTACCACAAGGTTCCATACCACAAAAGGAAGGTTGGGATTGATTTTGGGGGTTATTGTCGTAACTGTTTAGGAATTTGGGGCCAAAAACAAGTAGGTATTCCTATGGGCACTAACTGCGCCCCTTTAATAGCAGATTTATTCCTGTATTGCTATGAATCTCAGTTTATGACAAAACTCAGTAGAGACACATCATTGTTACATTTGGTTGATACATTCAACAATACCTACCGTTATCTGGATAATATTTTTTCGTTAAATAATCCAGAGTTCTCTAAATATACTACCGAAATTTACCCAAAAGAACTTACTTTAACTAAATCTAACATAAACAGCAGCAGTTGTCCTTTTCTAGATTTAGACATTTCAATTTCTAAAGGGAAACTCCATACTAAAATTTACGACAAAAGAGACGATTTTTCATTCCCTATTGTAAATTTTCCTTTTTTAGACGGCGATGTGCCTTTGGCTCCATCATACGATGTTTATATATCCCAACTCGTTCGGTATGCCCGTGTGTGTAGTGATGTCATAGATTTTAACGAACGTAATCAATGCATCACTGGTAAATTATTAAGTCAGGGATTTCGTTACCATAAATTACTTAAAACTTCTACTAAATTCTTTCATAGATACAAAGATTTGATTAGTAAATTTGGCTGTACCTGTAGAAAACTTATTAAAAATGGTATTTCACATCCTAAATTTTATGGTAATATTGTACTTAAAGCGCGGAAATCATTATGTGATCCGTGTAAACTCATCGAACCTTTAAACAAACTTATTAGTAAGGGTTATCGTACCAATGTTGTAATTAGATCTCTGAATATAGTTTACATTGGCACTAATATCGATTTTGTCATAAGCAAATTAAAACATAACTAAATTTGTATTTTCTTTTCAAACGGGATGTATAGAGACACACACGTTCATTTTTATCTATAAAGAAGTCACTCCTAACTATCCTACTACCTGTCGATACATTTATTTTTGGCATTGCACAAGTCATGTCTTCTTTGACTGTTCAAGACGTTAAAATACTAAATCCCTGGGATGTATTTTGGTTGATTTTAGTCTTTGATGCATGATTTTTTATTATTAATTGTTTTGGCTTTTAACTAGCTGTCAGTAACTGCGAGTACTCTCAAATCGTACTTTCTTTTTAATTTGACCTGTTGATACTATTTGTAATGCTTTTTTGTTATTTAATGTTAACATGGATCTTGTCTATATACCAGCTTTGATTATTTGGTATTTAATTACTACAAATTTTCACTTCTTCGTACTATGAACATCAAAATTATTTTACTTTTCCTTAGATGCTGTTCTTGGACCTGTACAGGAAGTTTTATCTAGCACTAATTGTATATTTTTATTGTTGATATTCACCCCATATGTACCAAGTGTTAGATTAGTTTTATTGATATTAAAGAAATTTCTTGGTATTCCTAAACGGAAGATTTTATACACACAGAAGAAGAAGTATACTTAACAACAAAATTATTTTCATTTACCTGTGTATAATATGACGCAGGTTTCTTCAAAAGTGATGATTTTCTATAAATTGTTTGAAATTTCACAGTGATATCATACTTTGTTTAAACCTGTTTATTTACTTTTGACTTTAATTATTTATCCCTTGTAATTTTTTATTAACTGTGTATTTGCATTCAGGTGTCACAGGTCAAATTTATTCGTTCATTGTGTGTTAATTTACGTTTTTTGATTGAGTTAAGCCTTCCAATTGATATTTTATAGTGTGTTTTTCTATGTTGTGATGTTATACTATTGTTTCAGAAAAGGGAGAAGGTTTGGTACCATTAAAACGTTTAATCCCGCTGCAAATGTTTGCACCTGTCCTAAGTCAGGAATCTGATTACAGTAGTTGTCGTCTGTTTATGTAGTTCATACGTGTTTCTCGTTTCTCGTTTTTATATAGATTAGACCGTTGGTTTTTCCGTTTGAATGGTTTTACACTAGTAATTTTTTGGGGCCCTTTATAGCTTGCTGTTTGGTGTGAGCCAATGCTCCGTGTTGAAGGCCGTACCTTGACCTATAATGGTTTACTTTTATAAATTGTAACTTGGATGGAGAGTTGTGTCATTGGCACTCATACCACATCTTCCTATATCTATATTTCTTCTTTCAGGACAATAACCTGTGTTAAGTGTATGGATCTCTATGAAATTGTAACACAAGGATCAATACCTCAAAAGGTAGGTTAGGATTGATTTTTGGGGTTATGGCCCAAACCGTCTAGGAATTAGGGGCCAAAAAGGGCCCAAAAAACCCTAGGATTTTCTAGTTTTTGGACAATAACTTGAGTGTAAGTCTATGGATCTCTATGAAATTGTACCACAAGGTTTCATACCATAAAAGGAAGTTTGGGCTTGATTTTTGGGTTATGGCCTTAACCGTTTAGGAAAAAGGGACCAAGAAACAATTCTCTTCTAATACTTTGTATAAATTGCTTATATCTTAACCAATTTCAATGGAATTCTTGGTGTTCTTTATATGTTAAATCTAACCGTGTATTAATTTTTTTTATTTTGACTCCGTTTTTAAATTGGTCCACATTGAGGTCCAAAGGGTCAAGAATTAAACTTTGTTTGATTTCAACAAAAATTAAATTCTTGGGGTTCTTTGATATGCTGAATCCAACAGTGTATTTAGATTTTGAATTTTGGGCCTGGTTTTCAAATTGGTCCACATTTTAGTCCAAAGGGTCTAAAATTAAACATAGTTTGATTTTAACAAAAACTGAATTCAAGGGGTTCTTTGATATGCTGAATCTATATGTGTATTTAGATTTTGGATTTTGTGCCCCGTTATCAATTTGGTCCATATTGAGGTCCAAAGGGTCCAAAATTAAACTTTGCTTGATTTCATCTAAATTGAATTCTTGGGGTTCTTTGATATGCTTAATCTAACCACGTATTTAGATTTTGGATATTGGACCATAAAAGGTAAATGTCCAATTTAAATTTTTTGAGTTCTTAGACCACATTCATTCTTTGTCAGAAACCTATGCTATGTCAAATATCTAATCACAATCCAAATTCAAGGCTGTATTGCACAACTAGTAGAAATTGTAAGAAGATTCATAGCCAAAAATAGATATAGCATCACATTCTAATTTTAGAAATTATGTATAAATATAGTTTGAAATTTACTATTCATTATTAGATATTTTGAAAAATAATTCATTAATAAGTAAATAAATTAAATTCTTGGTGTACTTGGAAATGCTGAATCTAACCGTGTATTTAGATTTTGGATATTGGACCATTGTAGGTAAAAGTTCAATTTCAAATTTTTCAGTTCATTGACCACATTCATTCATGTCAGAAACATATGTGTGGTATTAGATATTTGATAACAATCCAAATTCAGAGCTGTATCAAGCTTGAATGTAGTGTCCATACTTGCATCAACTGTTCTCGGTTCGACCTCTGCGGTCGTATCAAGCTGCGCCCCAGCGGAGCATTTTATTTAATATTTTAAAAGATATGTACAAAGATGTCTCTTTCTCTGTAAAATTAAAAGAGGAACTCTCATGTGTAGGATTAAAACAGGGTTGTATTTTAAGCCCCACATTCTTTTCATTGTATATAAATGAACTGGTTGAAACGTTTGACCACAAATGTGACCCAGCAAGCCTAGATGATTAACAAGGGTCTTGTCTTCTTTCATGGAGACAATTTAGTAGTAATATTAGAATCTGCATCTGGCCTGCGAAATGCAGTATATTTTGTGATCAATGAAATCTATCTGTTAATCTTAGTAAAACCAAAATTATAATATTCAATAAAACAGGGAAAATAATTTAAAAACACAAATTCTATTACAATGGAAAACTGCTAGAGCTGACTGATAAATACAAGTATGTATAGGTATAGTTTTAAACCATCTGGATTTTTTACTACAGCAATTGATTAGTTATCTAAAAAGGCTAGCAAAGCTGTATGTTGTATTAGAAATTATTATTTTCTGAAAAGATGAATTTACTACCACATTTAAATCTTTTTGATTCATGTGTGAAACCTACTATATTAGCAGTGAAGTTTGGGCTACTGTTAGTTAATAGTGAAACAAAGTACTACCATCGAGTCAAACTATGCAAACTTGGTGTAAATAAAGGTGCTGTTAATAATGCCGTGCTTTCTGAATTAGGTTTACTCAAACTTTCATTGTCAGACCTTGAAAATACAATTAATTTCTGGCTTCATATTATTAATATGAATAATGACAGTATAGTAAAGAAGTCATACAGTGAAAACTTAAACCTGTCAAATGGTTTTTGTAGTAAAATGAAAGTGTTTTTATGTATACTTGGTTTTCAGCATGATTGGAAAAATCAAAAACCATGTCGAAGACAAAAGTACTTTTTTTCATTTCAAAAGAAATTAGAAGAGGAATTCATAAAATCATGGAAACAAGCTCTTTTTGTAACCCTTATACAGATAGTCATTGTAATAAACTAAGAACGTTTCGCAAAGATAAAAATAATTTCGAATTAGAAAAATATATCCCGTTGGACCTTAACAAAAGTGTTATTTCTAAAATGGTAAAAATTAGAATTAGTAACAGCAAATTACTAATAGAAGTTTGCAGATATACTAGAACGCCTTTAGAACAGATTATTTGTCCATTTTGCAAGGATGAAATTGAAAATGAATTCCATTTCCTCATTAAATGTAAAGCGTTAGAATTTAATAGAAATATACTCTTTTGTAATTTAAGTGATATAGTCCCATCTTTTGTTATGATCTGAACAAGATAAATTTAGTTTCATTTTGAAAAGTAATGATACTGACATATGTACTGTATGTGTAGCTGGAATAAGCGATATGTATGATACGAACATTCATTTAAACATGTTAAAGCAAACATAATGTTGTTAAGAACTGTTGTAGTATTAAAGCTTATCGTAATAGCTTAATAACAACTCCACGCAATGTAGATATCAAATATGTGTCTCTTATAATTAAGAAAATATGTCTCTGTATATTTGTCTTTGTTTATTTTTGTATTTGTAATTTGTAAATGTCAGTTGGTATCATTCCTGTATTGATATTTACACCAATAAAACTATTTGATTTGATTGAAAGTAATTTTGCATGATGCGAAGTTCTTTACCTGAGCACAGACATTTAAATCTATAATATATGGAACGCGGGAACCACATTAATAGACAAAGACAGTTTATCAGGGATAATGATAGTTTATCGGTCGATCATTATAGATAGTCGGCGTCGACAATCATCGATGATCTAATTAATGTGACTCGCGCGCAGATAATGATAGTTATTTTTTTGATAATGCATTGACATTTTAAAACAATGGTAACTTTGTACATGCACAAAAAAATGTTAGCAAACCAGGGTAGAAAGCATTATTTATTTTATGTAGTAAAATATATGACGATTGTTTTGACCATGAAACTATGTTATCTCTTTTTGAAACATATGTATCTAGTATATCAGATTATAGTTGTGAAGTCTGGGGACATCACAAAGCCGAAAATATTGAGAAAGTTCACCTAAGCTTTTTAAAACGTATATTGAAAGTTAAAACATCTACTGTTAATTATATGGTATATAGTGAGTTGGGTAGACACCCTTCGTACATAGAGAGATATTGCCGAATGCTTAAATATTGGTGTAAATTATTAAACACAGATAACTGTATTTTACATTCTTGCTACCAAGAAATATTAGAAAGATCAATTGTAAAACCTCGTGACAAACAAAACTGGGCATGTGAAATAAGAATCATATTATTTCGTTATGATTGTCAAGATGTATGGTTACACCAAAATGTTATTTATATTGATTTGTTTTTGCAAGAAATTGTTAATAGAATAAAAGGTAGTTTTGTGAGTGAAATGAATGCTTTTTTCAATGAGTCACCAAAGTGTCAATTTTATAGATATATACACGATCCAGATACTTTACAATTTTTGCCTACACAAACCTGTAAACTATGTGTATAAGCAATATATTTGTAGATATAGATTGTCTGCACACTGCCTTAACATTGAAACCGGTAGATTTTGTAATATTGAAAGAGAAAACATATTTTGTAATATGTGTGATAAAAATCTGATAGAAGATGAATACCATTATATTTTAGTATGTGACAAATATTTTGATATAAGGAAAAAATATATAAAACTATTTTATTGGAAAAAACCATCTTGTTATAAATAATTTATTGTCTGTTCATAACATTAAAAAGCTTAACAATCTAGCTAAATACCTTTATTTAGCAGATAAGATTCGTTATTCATAATATAATGCTCATATTTCGTTATTTATATTATTTGTTGTCATTCTCCGCCAATGATTCAATGATTCAAACTGTTTGTAATTGTAAAAACACATATGTAATTAATCACTGAGAAAAAAAGATTCTAAAAGAGGGAGGTGGGAGATAGGTGGCGGGAGGTGGGAGAAGGGTACCCCCTGTCCACCCCCTCATTTAAGGACACAGTTACTGTAATTTGTAATACTTATTCTCATTACTCCTAAATATATAGACCTGAATCAAGCGATATTCCTCAAATTCCTTGACAGGTCAACGTCAAAAGACCAAGGTAGCCTGTTACCGTCACCAGGCATTTAGCTTTTGAACTCATGTGCCTATAAATTACGTGTGTGTTATGGGGAAGGGGGATTTGAAATTGAATTATCTGTGCTGGCAATTACCGAAAATAAGTATCCGAACATAGTAACAAGCCCTTGTGACAGGATGAAACAGTTAAAACAAATATATATACATGACAACAAAGGCAGTCTATCCAGACCCAGCCATACTAACGGCAGTGGATAGTAGGGACTGGGTCTAGTCATGCAATGTGGTTTTCAATTTTTAGTTCAAGTGCTTTAATCTTGCTAGTCCAAATAATTATGACATCTTGATACGGCAGAAGTTGTTTCATACACAATTACTGGGCATGTGTAATTGAATCGCAACTATTTGCTAATAATTGTTATAGATAATATACTATACCAGAAAATCTTTAAAATTTAAATTTCGATAATTTGCCATGATAGAGATATATGAGATGTAAAGCAGCATTGAATTTGAATTGATATTTTTTAAATGAAATTAATTAAGTTATAGGCCTGTCACTTCTTTGATAACAATTGATCCAGATATTGACTGAGAACAATTAAATATTTCTGTTTGATTAATTTTGGCCAGATTTTAT